CATGTGTAGGTTGTACATGAGGTAGAAACATGTTTTGATATGTTAGCATTGTAAGTTTTCCTATTTTTGTAGCAGCAGAGATATAAACTGTAAGGTGCAAAAATGCAAAACTTGAGCAGATTGCAAATATGTGCAAGTAAAGAAGGGACAAACAGTACAACACAGTAGTTGTGTATATTTAGGTTGTGTGTGTGTGTGTCATCAGCGTCATGGAAGAACTGCCTTTAGCTTTTTAGCTAGCACACCTGTATTGTGCTTAGCACTACGTCAGGGCTGACTGAAGATGGGGCACGTGAGCACAGTTCGGTAGATGGGGCGCTCGGTTCTGTTGATGGGGCGCCCCACTTGTATAATGGTAGAGGAAATACTGGTTTGTGTCACAATCCATTTTGTGTGTGTTTTTGTGTCAGAGTCCATCATGTGTGTGTCAGAGACTAGAGTTAAGGAGTCTGATGGCTTGTGGAATGAAGCTGTTAGTCTGGTTGTGTTGGTCTGAATGCTGCGGTACCTTCTCCACGATGGCAGGAAAGTGAAAAGTCCATGTGATGAGTGAGACGGGTCATTCACAATGCTGAGGTCTTTTCGGATGCAGCAGTTGTTGAAAATTTATATGAGAGATAGAAGAGAGACCCTGATGATCTTTGCAGCTGTCTTCACAATTCGCTGGAGAGTTTTGTGATCCGATGCAGTGCAAATCCCGAACCAGACAGTAATGCAGCTGCTCAGGATGCTCTCAATGATTCCTCTGTAGAAAGGTGGTGAGGATGGGAGGTGGCAGATGAACTTTCTTTAGTTTCCTCAGAAAGAAGCGACACTGCTGAGCTTTCTTGGTAGTGGTGCTGGAGTTAAGGGTCCAGTTGAGATCCTCCGCCAGGTGAACACCATGGAATTTGGTGATTTTGACAGTCTCCATGTAGGACCCTTCGATGTTCAGTGGAGAGTGGACCCTTGGTGTTTTCCTAAAGTCAATGACCATCTCTTTGGTTTTGTCAAAAATCAGAGAAAGGTTTTTGACTTTGCACCAGTCCGTTAGCCTTTGCACCTCCTCACTGTACGCTGACTCATTATTGTTGATAAGTCCCAAAACAGTTGTATCATCTGCAAACTTCACAATGGAATTTAAGCTGTGCATTGCTGTACAGTCATGTGTAGGCAGAGTAAACAGCAGTGACCTGAGCACACAGCCCTGGGGAGCTCCGGTGCTCAATGTGGTGGTGCTGGAGGTGTTCTTTCTGATCCAGATGAATTGAGGTCTTCCAGTCAGGAAGTCCAGGATCCAGTTGCAGAGAGAGGTAGTCAGGTCCAGTGCTTTCCAATCAGAGGCTGAGGAATGGTGGTGTTGAATGCTGAGCTAAAGTCTTATGAATGACATCCTAACTTGTTTTTTCTGTCCAAGTTTGTGGAAGCCAGGTGAAGTGTGGTGGCTATGGCATCGTCCGTTACGCAAACTGCAGTGGGTCCATGGTGGGAGACAGCAAGGTCTTGATGTGCTGCGTGTCAAAGCACTTCACGGTGATAGACGTGCTACGGGATAATACTCGTTGAAGCATAACACTGATGACTTCTTTGGCACATGAATGATGGTGGTCTTCTTGAAGCTTGTTGGAATGACGGCACTGCTCAAGGAGATGTTAAAGATGTCATAGAAAACACCTGTCAGCTGGTCTGCACATTCTCTGAATACTCTGCCAGGAACGTTGTCTGGTCCGGCAGCTTTCCGAGTGTTGACACTGCATAGAGTTTTCCTCACATCTGCTGTGATCAGACGAAGCACCTGGTTGTCGCGAGGGCAGGTGATCTTCCTGGCCACCATGTTGTTGTACTCTTCAAACTGAGCAAAGAAATCCTTCAGCTTGTCTGGAAGGGAGGCATCACTGTCACAGGCAGGTGGTGTAGTCCTGTAGTTGGTGATGGTCTGGATGCCCTGCCACTTGCGCCATGTGTTACCACTGTTCTGGAAGTGGCTGTAAATGTTCTGGCCGTGTGCGTGTTTTACTTCTCGGATTCTCTGGGACAGTTTGGCCCTTTCTGTCCTGAGAGCTGATTGGTCACCTGCTTTGAAAGTGGAGTCTCGGGCTCTCATCAGTGCATGCACCTCTCGAATGCAATGCATTTGCTGATGTAGCAGGTCACTGAAGTCATGTACTTCTCTAGATTGGTGAAATCGCCATATGTGGCAGACTCCCTATGTCCCTGTCAGTGCACTCAAAACAGTCCTGAAGAGCAGAGATGGCTCCTTCTGGCCAGGTTTTCTCCTGTTTTGGTTCAGGTTTTGTGCGCCTGACGAGCACTCTGTATGCTGGAATCAGCATTACAGAGATGTGGTCTGAGTATCCAAGGCGGAGGCGGGGCTCCGCTCGGTAGCAACGGAAACGTTTGTGTAAACACATCAAAGCAGCTGCTTCCGGAAAATTCAACATTCAACTTTTCCCTCTAAAATCCACAAGTAATTTTGGACTTGCTTTATAATAATTTGAAAATTTGCTAACTCACTCGTTGGTGACCCTTGCCATTTTCTGAGTGGCAGAGGGAGAATTGACAGCACACAGTAACACTCTTCAAAAAGGCAGACAGAAACGGAAACTAAAAACTTAGTCTCAAACAGTCACTGTAAAAACTGTAAGAAGTATCTAAAACTATCTTGAACTGCCAGAAGCGGATACTTTTTTGTCACGTAAGTAAATACAGTATGTTTCTACAGTGTTTTATGTTAGAGATGTGACAAAATAATGAAACCAATAAAGTGGAAGTCAATGAGAATTTGAGATTGCACACTTGGAGGACCGACATGGTGTAGAGGTTGGGCAGTCGACTTGGGACCAGAAAGTTGCGGGTTCAACTTCCCGCCATGCCCACATGTCGTGGTGTGCTTGAGCAAGACACCTAATCCCCAATTGCTCCCCAGGCGGTTACATAGCTGCCCGCTGCTCTACCTGTGTGTATCTCAGGTGTGATGGGTTAAATACAGAGAACTAATTTCCTCATTGTATGGGAACATATGATGACAACACATAGCACTTTATTATTATTATTATTATTTTATTATTATTATCGTTATTATTATTATTAATGAGTGTTAGAAAAAAACACACAAGTCTTATAAAAGTGATAGACACAATGAGTGAAAGAAGCCAAAAAACTTGCCAGTAAGTGTTGGTCTCTAAACTGTATTAGAAATACAGATTGTGTGAGTAAGAAAAGTAATACGTTTTGGAATACTTAAACAGCTGAAAAGTTAGTGACATTATACCTCTTCAAATTGAACATTCTGTGGTAAATTATCCAAAGATCAGAAAAATTAAACTACCATAGTATAAAAACCATTGATATCAAAATTTTTAGTTCAGTCGTGTCGAGCCCAATCTTTAATGACCTATTTAAACTTTGAAAGATTTTTCTTCTTTGAAGTATAGTAGTATACAACTACAGGGCTGAGTTTATTTTAAACTAATTTAAACAAATGAAATGCAATCCCACCAATTGTCAAAGCACAACATTACCAATCGGGCTGTACATTTTTTTGAATTTTTTGTATTTTATTGAAGTTGTTAGAGCACTGATTGAAAATTGATAAACAGGAAAATATCCTGTTGAATAGTTTAGAATAAAGGCTGATGATGTATAGAGAAAAGTGCCAAAAACTGTATTTATTAAAGTCTATGCATTAAATGGTGATTGAGCTTTAAAAAAATTTATTACTTTTTAGATTAATTAATTATGGTAAATGGTTTTATACTTAAATTAAATTAAGTAAACTGTGTTTTGAGTTAACAATTGTATAGAGAAAAGGCTCCACAGAGTCATAAATGGCATGTAATTTATCATTCAAAGGATTATTGTTCGAGATGCCAAATCTGATGGGCTTTGAAAGTTTTTTTTTTCTGATGTTAAAAGAAAAGAAACTCAAGTCTCTAGAGACAAAAGTAGAAAAATCAGCGCTGCTTTTTCTGTTTGAATGACTTTGTGTTCGTTCTCCTTTTGTACTTCTGTTTTTTTAATAAATGCTCTTCATCCTCCCCACTTTGACCGTAGCTTTTCCACTGAATCTAATGTGAAACTGTTGATCCAACAACTTTTTTTCCACAATTGTAGCTTTATAAATTGCTGGCTTAGCAGTCAGTGAATAAATTATGTTCTGTAACCAAAATTCTTAGTTAATATTTCTGAGAAATTTAAGTTTTTTTATGAAGCGAAAATTAACTTTTCATGACTTTTAAATGTGGATAATGTAAAATTAACATTTTTAATAAATTTTTGTCACTCATTCACAACAGAAGTCATCTCAGGGCACTGAACAGAAATGTACAGGACTTATCCATCCGTCTGTCCATCCATTCATTCATTCACTCATTCATTCATTCTTTCATTCATTCATTCATGGATCACAGAAGTCACTACTGCCCATATCCAGCTGTCACTGTGCAAGAAGCAGGGTACACTCTGGACAGGTCTCCAGTCCATCACAAGGACGCATGCAGACAAATGAGACAAACATTCACTCTCTCACTCTCACCTAGTAACAGTTTAGAGTTTCATTCTAACATGCATGTTTTTGGTCTGTGGGAGGAAACCGAAGTACTTGGAGAAAACCCATGCATCATGGAGAGAACATGTAAACTACACCTAGCAAGTCCCCTGGCCGGGAATTGATCCGGTGACTTTCTCGCTGATAGGCAACAGCTCTACCAACTGTGCCACCGTGCCATCACATACAGGACTTAAAAGTTTTATTTATTTATTTATTTTAGAAAAATGTGTCTCAATTTGTATCAAATTTACAGATTTTTGTTAATCCACAGTTTAGATTGCTAACATGTTGTTCAGTGATTCTACATTTCTGTAGAGATTAAATAAGCTCCACAATACAAGGTTTTCTCAAAGCTGACTTCTGAGACTTTTTCAGTTATATCATATTACAACATCTAAAACTGAAGGACTGATACACACTACAGTGATCAGGTAAGTTTTATTAACAATACTTTGTTCCATCTTTCTTTCAGGAGCTTGTTTACTAGGAAAGCCAAAGAGTCCAAGTCAACTTCCCATAATGCAACAGGATGGAGACTGTTTGGCAAGACAGCAGCTCCAGAGGATGATCAAATCAAAGAGGTTGCCTCTCTGTCAACTCCTCAGCAGGTTGGTTCTTTAAACACACAAACTCAAATTATTTATTTTAATATTGTCTAGGTAACAGCTGTATGCATTGCAAGTTTGAAAGCAAGTATTGTCTGTAAACTGTTTCTTTTTTTTTTTAAATAACAGATCAAATAAAATTAGTCTTTAGTTTTTTTTTTTTTTTTAACCAAGCAATGAAAAGTTTCAGGTATTATTTTGTCCTATTCTTCTTGCAAACATATTTTATGTTGTACAACAGTACGAATTTCCCTCATCACATTTTGGTTTCTACCATTTCTACCATAAAATTTTCTGTGCTGCAGGCAGACAGTACAGTACAGCATCAGAAGTACAAATAGTTGGTCATGCAGATATTATTCTCGGGCAAAGTATGGGCACTTAAGGTTGAGTTTTGAAATATGAGCCTGGTCTGTGAATGCTCCTCATGCTGCGCCTCTCATCAAACCTTCACAAATGTCTCATCCTAAGATTTCATTGAGCCTTCAGAGCAGGAATCCTGAGTTCTCGTGCTTTAGGATGGAGTAGTCAGTGATACATAAAGGGACATTCAGTTGTTAGCCAGATCCTTGAAAACGGTCTGATAAAGGCAGTGGGGCGACCAACATACAAAAAAAAACCAATAGATTGTCAGACAGGGTACCAAGAGACAAATTACCAAGATGACAAGAGGGCAGGCCCCTTATAGGTACCCTCAGAAGGGCAATAAACAGGAAATCAAATGGCTGGGAACCAAAGACTGTGCCAAAACTTTAGGTTACTTTAAGCCTGCTCCTGGCTGATGGTGTCTCCAGCAGTAGGAAATGTTCACTCTGAGGGTGTGGATGATTCTTGTTACACACACAGATACATGGTTGCCAAGTCTGATAGCAGTGGCGTAGTGTCCCTCACATTCCACCACCAGGTCACTGGATTCACTGAGGTTAGGGTTGATGGCAGCCATCTGTACCTCTGTGTCTTTTCCTGAATCTTCTCTGTGATTTTCTGGGGTTTAGGGCTCTTATCATCTCCCTAATTGGCATTAGAACACAAAACATAAACCGTAACATGGTTGTGTTATGATTGCTCAAAAACCATTATCTATTCAATTCAATTCAGTTTATTTACAGGTCCTTCTCAAAAAATTAGCATATTGTGATAAAGGTCATTATTTTCCATAATGTAATGATAAAAATGAAACTTTCAAATATTTCAGATTCATTGCACACCAACTGAAATATTTCAGGTCTTTAATTGTTTTAATACTGATGATTATGGCATACAGCTCATGAAAACCCAAAATGCCTGTCCCAAAAAATTAGCATATTTCATCCCACCAATGAAAGACAAGTGTTTTTAATACAAAAAACGTCAACCTTCAAATAATCATGTTCAGTTATGCACTCAATACTTGGTCGGGAATCCTTTTGCATGAATGACTGCTTCAATGCGGCGTGGCATGGAGGCAATCAGCCTGTGGCACTGCTGAGGTGTTATGGAGGCCCAGGATGCTTCGATAGCGGCCTTAAGCTCATCCAGAGTGTTGGGTCTTGCGTCTCTCAACTTTCTCTTCACAATATCCCACAGGTTCTCTATGGGGTTCAGGTCAGGAGAGTTGGCAAGCCAATTGAGCACAGTAATACCATCCATCCATCCATCCATTTTCTTTGCCCGCTTATTCCATTTTGGGTCACGGGGGTCGCTGGTGCCCATGTCCAGCAATCACTGTGCGAGGGGCGGGGTACACCCTGGACGGGTCGCAAGTCCATCACAGGGACACATAGAGACAAACGAGACAAACAACCATTCACTCTCTCACTCACACCTAGGGACAATTTAGAGTTACCAATTAGCCTAACATGCATGTTTTTGGACTGTGGGAGGAAACCGGAGTACCCGGAGAAAACCCACGCATGCACGGAGAGAACATGCAAACTCCACCCAGAAAGGCCCCTGGACCGGGGTTTGAACCAGGGACCTGCTCGCTGAGAGGCAGCAGCTCTACCAGTTGCGCCACCGTGCTGCCCACAGTAATACCATGGTCAGTAAACCATTTACCAGTGGTTTTGGCACTGTGAGCAGGTGCCAGGTCGTGCTGAAAAATGAAATCTTCATCTCCATAAAGCTTTTCAGCAGATGGAAGCATGAAGTGCTCCAAAATCTCCTGATAGCTAGCTGCATTGACCCTGCGCTTGATAAAACACAGTGGACCAACACCAGCAGATGACATGACACCCCAGTGACTGTGGAAACTTGACACTGGACCTCAAGCAATGTGAATTCTATGTCTCCTCTCTTCCTCCAGACTTTGGGACCTTGATTTCCAAAGGAAATGCAAAATTTACTGTAATCAGAGAACATAACTTTGGACCACTCAGCAGCAGTCCCAGGCGAGATGCTTCTGACGCAGTCTCTTGTTCAAGAGTGGCTTGACCTGGGGAATGCGGCACCTGTAGCCCATTTCCTGCACACGCCTGTGCACGGTGGCTCTGGATGTTTCTACTCCAGACTCAGTCCACTGCTTCCGCA